TGTATTGTGCCAAAATAAAAGCATTCACATTGCTCAACTCACAAACTAGTATTTGTCACTTAGTATTTAGTCAACTTACTCCACAGTTTGTTATAATTTAGGGTTAAGAATTAATCTAAGTTTGCCTGAAATGCCTAGCCATGCTAGGTGTTCTAGTGGCCCCCTCTGTAATTATTTTACTACATGTAAACCCCACACTAACCAAAATCTGTAAACCCTGCATTGTAATCCTTATAGAGAATAAACTTTGATATATAGATTACCACACATAGCAGCACATGTGTAGAGAACCTAGGATAACTGAAAAAAGTCAGACCACGTGGCTTATTTCTAGTACCTGGCTTGGGTTAGCCATATATGATTTTTGGTAAATATTCAGTTCCCAGCCAGGGTAGAAACATTAGGTGTGTCGCTTTACACCTGTTGTCTATGTTCACCCATCAGTAAATGGGTACCTGGGTGTTAGTCGACTGGTGTGGATGTTATCCTGGGACACTGACCTAATTTGCTTGAAATACTCTGCATAACAAGCGGCTTTCTATATAGTACAGGTCCTCCATCACAAATCCGGCATCATTGGGACCTGTAGTGTGCCGGATTACTGAGTTTGCCGAATTACAGAGTGGTTAAGTTAGAATACACTTAATAAAATTAACCAACTTGACTTACACAGTTCATTAAACATCGGCAAAATGGAACATTTCCGCTACTTTGAGCTCAATTTCAAGGTACTTTTCGTCATGAAAACAATCAAAATCATGTCTATTTCTGTAATATATCTTCCATTATATCAAATGAGTCCAAAAAATGAGAATACAACCATAAAAACCACACGAAAATATACTGCAAAGAGGCAGCTAATGGCTGAGAAGTGAACTCCCTTATTTATCGTCCGTCTTTTTTATTTTTGTTGTACGTTAAGAAGCATCTTTCCATCATACATTGCCCAAGTTTCAACGAGATAGCCTAACAAACAACCGAGAAAAAAAAATATTTACCAAAAATCATATATGGCAAGCCCAAGAAAGGTACTGGAAATAAGTCACTTTGTCTGACTTTTCTGGGTTATCCTAGGTTCTCTATACATACACTGTTATGTATGATAATCTATGTAACTGTATTTGTGTATAACTGAATAAACTTATTTACTTCTAGTCTGTCAACTGAGTACAAGAAACCGCCCATTCATTTATTTCAACTACCTAATCAAGTGGTCAGAAATTGGCAATTTTGCCGATTTCACACAAATTTCAAGATGCCAATTTCAAAATAGGATCCAGAATAAACAATGTAGACATTCCTGGCACTAAAATAACATTTTCTTTGTTCATTAGTCACGGTTACAGGCCCCTCTTATATTACTCTTGCTTACCATTTGGAATTTTTATTCACAAAAAGAAAAAAAATGAAAGATTTACTGTTATGCAGACTACTGCATTATTGTAATAATTGTATAAATAATGTCAATCCATTCTTGACTCCGTACTGGAATTTGGACTAGCAGGCGGACAGGTATTGGATGGTGACGTCATTTGTTTACTCTTGAGCTTCTCTAAAGAATAGAACATTTTCGCTACTGTGAGCGCAATTTCAAGGTACTTTTCGTCATGAAAGCAATCAAAATCATATCTATTTCTGTAATATATCTTTCATTCTATCAAATGAGACCGAAAAAATGAGAATATAACCATAACAACCATACAAAAATATACCGCTAAGCAGCTGCTAATGGCTGAGAAGTGAACTCCGCTATTTATGGTCTGATTTCTTTCATTTTTGGTGTACGTGAAGAAGTATCTTTCCATCATACATTGCCCAAGTTTGAATAAGATAACCCAACAAACAACTGAGAAAATAATAATATTTATTTACTACACGTACATGTACATGGTATACAGGCCTAGCTGACATCAGTAAGTAAGAAAGATTATTCAGGTATACACAAATACAGTTACATAGAATTATCATACATAGCAGCATGTGTGTAGAGAACCTAGGATAACCCAAAAAAAGTCAGACAGTGACTTATTTCTATTGGGGTCCTTTTACCTTATTATTATAATTTTTCTTATTATTCTATAATGAAGATAACATCTTATCATACTAAAAAGACTATCTACTACACGAGGGTCATTAAGACTGTCTACAATACGAGTGACATACTACTGTAGAGAAAGGCACTTTTTATACTGAGTACAGTGGACCCCCGGTTAACGATATTTTTTCTCTCCAGAAGTATGTTCAGGTGCCAGTACTGACCGAATTTGTTCCCCTAAGGAATATTGTGAAGTAGATTAATCCATTTCAGACCCCCAAACATTCACGTACAAACACACTTACATAAATACACTTACATAATTGGTCGCATTCGGAGGTGATCGTTATGCGGGGGTCCACTGTATTTCAAGAAAATTAGGTCAGTGTCCCAGGATAACACCCACACTAGTCGGCTAACACCCAGGTACCCATTTACTGATGGGTAAACATAGACAACAGGTGTAAAGAAACACGCCTAATGTTTCTGCTCTGGCTGGGAATCGAATATTTACCAAACATCATATATGGCTAATCCAAGCCAGGTACTAAAAATAAGCCACGTTGAGTTTTTTGGGGTTATCCTAGGTTCTCTACACATATGCTGCTATGTGTGATAATCTATAGAGAAAATAACTTTTTTGTTTCATGTTTATGGTGGAGTACGAGTGTGTATCACAGTTAGCCCTGTGCTATACTCTGTTTTCTCTAATATAAGCCCCCAAGACAAGGATAGGAGAATGGTATTTGCTTACCATATCCTCTTCATAACTCTGTCAAACTGCTCAGTATTATGCCAATTATTTATTCTTGAATATTTAACATGTTTTATGTTATTTATATTGTTTCTTATGTCATATTAGATCAATTGTGATAGGCAAATAAACTGTAGTGTTGATATTTGCGTAACAATAAAGCATATTCTCCTGCTTCATGAGACTGAGCTCAAGGCAACCAACAGTGGCTTCAAAGTCACCTTATCTTTAATGGATAATGTACTGTGTAGGTGCTTTACATAATGAGAAGCATTTCTTTTATTCATTGGAACCATGGCTAGAGCTAAAAGCAAGCAGGTTAAAACAATAAATGGAGAAAAAGAAATTGGAATGACTTATGCAGCAAGTAACGCCACCAAACAGTACCAGCAGGTTGGTGTGGCAACCCTGGAAATTTGAAATTATGCTAGCCAAAATTAGTGCCGAATAACTGAAGGAACCGAATAACTGACTGCCGGATTTGTGATGGCAGACCTGTAGTATGTCACTGATGTCAGCTATGTCTGTATCCCACGTACATGTACGTGTAGTAGATTATTATTATTACTGTTATTTTCTCATTTGTTTGTTGGGTTATCTTATTGAAACGTAGGCAATGTATGATGGAAAGATACTTTTTAACGTACACCAAAAATGAAAGAAATCAGACCATAAATAGCGGAGTTCACTTCTCAGCCATTAGCGGCATATTTTTGTATGGTTTTTATGGTTATATTCTCGTTTTTTTGGTCTCATTTGATAGAATGGAAGATATATTACAGAAATAGATATGATTTTGATTGCTTTTATGACGAAAAGTACCTTGAAATTGCGCTCACAGTAGCAGAAAAGTTCTATTCTTTAGCGATGCTCAAGTAAACAAATGACATCACCGTCCAATACCTGTCCGCCTGCCAATCCAAATTCCAATACGGAGTCAAGAATGAGTTGACATTATTTATACAATTATTGCAATAATGCAGTAGTCTGCATAACACGAAATCTATTTTTTGTGTGAATAAAAATTCCAAATGGTAAGCAAGAGTAATATAAGTGGCTGGAGCCATGACTAATGAACAGAAAAAATGTTATTTTAGTGCCAGGAATGTCTGCATTGTCTATACTGGACCCTATTTTGAAACTGGCATCTGTGAAATTGGCCAAATTGCCAATTTCTGACCACTTTATTGGGTAACTGAAATAGGTGAATGGGCGGTTTCTTGTACTCGGTCGACAGACTAGAAGTAAGTTTATTCAGGTATACACAAATACAGTTACATACATTATCATACATAGCAGCGTATGTAGAGAGCCTAGGATAACCCAAAAGTTAGACAAAGTGTCTTGTTTCCAGTACCTGGCTTGGGCTTGCCATGATTTTGGGTAAATATTGTTTTTTTTCTCAGTTTGTTGGGCTATCTCATTGAAACTTGGGCAATGTATGATGGAAAGACGCTTCTTAACGTACACCAAAAATAAAAAAGACGGACGATAAATAAGGGAGTTCATTTCTCAGCCATTAGCCGCCTCTTTGTGATATATTTTTGTATGGTTTTTATGGTTGTATTCTCATTTTTTGGTCTCATTTGATAGAATGAGAGATATATTACAGAAATAGATAAGATTTTGATTGCTTTCATGATGAAAAGTACCTTAAAATTGAGCTCAAAGTAGCGGAAATGTTTGATTTTTGCCGATGTTCAATGAACTGTGTAAGTCAAGTTGGTTAATTTTATTAAGTGTATTCTAACCTAACCACTCTGTAGTCCAGTAAACTCAGTAATCCGGCACACTACAGGTCCCAATGATGCCAGATTTGTGATGGAGGACATGTACTTTCATTCCCCTTGTGATCTAGATGTAGTATACAGGAACAGAATTGTCATCATCATTACTTTCTCGTTGTTTGGATTATTATTATAATCAAAACTAAGCATTAATGATTCTTTGGATTGTCATAATTACAAATCTGTCTGAGGAAGGAGACAACAGTTCTGATTACTTGGATCAAGAGCCCTTTCACTATGCTAAGAGACCCCACTTTGAAGGCGTCGACAGAGAAAGCCCATTATCCTATCTTTCAGATAAAAAAAAGGCATTGATAGCAAGGAAATAGGAGCATTCTTGTACTCAATAATACAACGAGCATCTTCCTGCTTAGCCATGAATGTGAAAATTGTCTTATGTATGTAGGATCATAAAAAATCATCCAACTGGTAGATATATATATTTCAGTAACCACAAATCAGATACAAAATGTTATAAAATACAAGAACATATAAAACAAAGTTGTGAAAATTTAATGAAGCATCAAGTCATTAAATTCAGCTTCTCCTCCACCTCCATTCTAATGATTTGTACATAGAATGCAAAACAAATGCAACTAAGTTTCAAATGTTATATTTCTTACTAGTTATCTTCATCCTTAGCTACTTGTAACATTATTTTAAATGAACTAGTAATGTTTCTAAATAAGCAAACAAAATTTTCTTTAATAAAACAATTTATCACCAGCTAACCAGCTCTCGAGCATTCTAGAAAATTTGGAATTTGTTTTTAAATCAGTGTGCAATTATCTATTTGTAGATACAGGAGCAGAGCTAAGTTTCTTGCATTCCTTTCTTCAGTAGTTCTACAATTTGTTAAAGTTGGTATGTACTTGTATATTTGTTTGGGTGTTTATGTATAGAGAGTGTTTATGTATGATTTATAGTAAAGTATGGTCTGAGCTTACCATGACAATGTACAATATAACCCTTTAATTTTTTAAATATAAATTTATTATTAAAACTTTCTAAAATAACTTTCTATTAAGCATTAGATGTAACTGCCAGTTTTTTAAGATGTTCCATGAAGACTTGTAAGCTGACATCATCTGTAAGAACTGGGGACCCACCATCCTGCAATAGTAATTAATACTGTTAGTACACACATTTAGTGATAACCAAGTTTAAAACACCTTCCACAAAACATACACATTAGTGGAAATCTTGTGGAAAAAATATATATGACAACACATCTCCATATTGTTTCAGTCATGGCATGAATATCTTGTTCCATCACTTCTGTTATAAACAGATAAACTAAAAATATAAAAACTACAGGTCTTTATTCAATGCCACATTATACGAATTCTTTAATCCCTCAAGGGTCAGTACCGTAGAACCACGCCATAAGCTCAGCTCCCTCAGATAAGCAGCGAGTGGTAAATTTGGGCCTAGATATGAGAGAATGGACCTATGTGGTAATTATTATAATAAAAAAAGAAGTGCTAAACCCACTAGGGTCATACACCGCTGCAGGACAGGAAGTGATGCAGGATCGAAAGATAACTAAGGGTGGAGAGGACAAGAAAGGTAAAGTCAGGAAGGACTGAGGAATGGTAATGGAAGTATCATCAAAGTTTGTGCAATAAATTGGTTGCGGTCAAAGAGGGAATCTGTGTCAAAGGTTGGGCCATCAACAAGGTGGGAAGATAAAGTAAGGGCACTAGAGTGGTGACAACATTGGAGGAAAATTCTGCATGCTCACTGATAGACAGGACAGTCCAATGGAATATGGGAAATTGGAACCAGACAATTCTCACTAAGTGGAACAGAGCGCCACTCCATGAGATACCCACAAGCAAGACAGGTATGCCCAATGAGAAGACAGAAGAGTTTTGTCTCCCAACCTCGGCATTGATGTAAAGGTCAGAAATCTAAACTTGGTTTGATAAAAAGCATATGGGACCAACACTGTTGCCAATGGTTGTGAAGGTGGTTAGAGATAACAGCAAAATAGTCTGAGAATGAAATCCCTCTATATAAAACTAAGAGGTCATGTACTGGAGACTGCACAGCAGAGTTTACCTGCTCATTACACTGAACATCAACATAACCAGGGACCCAACAGAAAACTTTGTTTTTGCTAGTAATGCAACACAATCAAAGATGTATAGGAAAAACTAAGGGATGAGGTGAATCAACTTTTTAATAGCTTGCAAAGCACAAAAGAAGTCTGAGACTATTACAAATGTTGAGACAGGCATAGATACAATATGGATAATTGCAATGAGAACTGCATACAATTCAGCTATAAAAATGCTAGCCGAGTTTAATAAATGTCCTTGCACTACGCTGTCCGGGAACACTGCTGCAAACCTGACGCCACCAGAAGATTTAAAACCATCAGTGCACACTGTGACAGCATGAAAATGAGACCAAGAGTGATTTAAAAATACACAAATAACCCGCACATAAAAGAGAAGCTTACGACGACGTTTCGGTCCGACTTGGACCATTTACAAAGTGCGACTTTGTAAATGGTCCAAGGCGGACCGAAACGTCGTCGTAAGCTTCTCTCTTTTATGTGCGGGTTATTTGTGTATCGTTCCAGTCACGGTATTGTGCCTTTTTTTGTTACTGATTAAAAAAAAAAAAGGAGAATGAGAAGCAACGGTAGGTAGTATTTGGGTTTTCACCCACAGCAGTGGGGAAACAGACATGAACTGTTGGAACCTCCCAAGGAAAAAGTGAAAAGGTAGACACTAGATGAACATATAAAGGAGGCAACTGAAGAGAAGATGAGCAAGCGAAGACGAAGAGAAAAGGGATGGAGTAAACGGATGGTGAACAAATGATGGACCTATGCTAACGTTCGTTACTATCCTGTATGCAGAAAGCTTGTGGAGGTCATGAGAGAGGAGGCAATAAGCATCACGATAATCGTTCAAGGTTCTTGACAGGTGAGGAGCGAAAAAGCACCTAAACAAACAATCCCTGATGATGGATAGGATCAAGTTTAGAAAGAGTTGCAGGAGAGGCTCCAGAATATATCTGGGCACCATAATCTAGCTTCAATAAAATTAGGGCTGAATGCAGTCGAAGAAGAGTGTGACCATCTGCCCCCCCCCCCCTTCCCAATGAGAGATGAGCGAGGGTTTTGGAGGTTCAGCTAGCTATGGCAAGTTGCTTTCAGGAAGGTAAGGCAAGGTCTCCAGGACAACCAGAGATCAAACAGAAGGACCAGAAATCTCTCAGTATCACATTCAGGGATACACGAGCCATGCAGGTACGATGGAGTATCAGAAAATTTAAACCCATGAGTAGTGGCCCAATGGAAAACATGCTTGACAGCATTCTAGATAGAGGCTACTACTTGGCAACAATCAGCACCTGCACAAGCTATAAGCAAAGTCATCAACATAGAACAATGACCAAATATTAGATGGAAGAACAGATGCCAGATCATTAATAGCAAGGAGAAACAGTGTGGTGCTAAGGACACATCCCTGAGGGACACTTTCAGTTTGGACAAAGTCCTGCAAAAGCAAAATATTAACCCAACACTTAATTAAATGTCTCTCAGGTAAGAAGTTTTCAAGAAAAAATGGCAGACTGCCTCAGAGGTCTTGGCTTGGGCCAAGATGTTACATCTCCAAGTAGTGTCTTATGCAAACCATACCACAGGCGGGGATAGAACCCGCGATCAGAGAGTCGCAAAACTCCAGACCGTCGCGTTAGTCACTGGACCAGCTAGCCACAATAAGATTCGGCTAGCTGGTCCAGTGGCTAACGCGACTATCTGGAGTTTTGAGACTCTCTGATCGCGGGTTCTATCCCCGCCCGTGGTATGGTTTGTTTGCAATCGTGTCATTGTCATTGCGATTTTGTGAGTCATGTTAACGGCTTTGAGGGGACTTGAGCTAGAGTTCGTCACAGCCATGCTAGCGGGAGATTCATCTGTAAAAATTTTCATTTGTGGTCACAGTGGTGCCTATGCTAACCTTCCTATGGTGTAGAAATATACCTACTTGGACGAATCTTATTGTGGCTAGCTGGTCCAGTGGCTAACGTGACGGTCTGGAGTTTTGCGACTCTCTGATCGCGGGTTCTATCCCCGCCCGTGGTATGGTTTGTTTGCAATCGTGTCATTACAATTTCATGATCAAAAAAGACTGCAATAATGGAATGGTTACTAGCAAAGGAATTACAAACTATGTATCTAGTGGAGTAAAGGGTCACCAGTAAAGTGGCCCTTATGAAAGCCACATGGACAAGGGGAGAAACTACTATGCGTCTCTAAATGCCACATCAAACATCTATTTACCAGATGTTCCATCACCTTGCATACTGCACTGGTAAGAGCAATGGGATAATAGTGCAAGGCATCATGTCCCAAAGTACCTGGTTTACAAAAAGGCAGAACAATGGCAGATTTCGAAGTTTGGGAAGAACTCATTGCAACCAAATAAGACTGACAAAAGAGGACTGCAAGGGTTGACAGACATAAATGCTGATGCATACGAATATGAATGCCATCAAGCCCAGCTGCTGATGATCAGCAAGTTGAAAGTGTTGACTAGCTCTAAAAGTGCAACAGGCTCAGAGGAAAGAAACGAGGGGCATAGATGGAGCCCTTTAGAGATACAGACAAGATGATTTCCGATCTCCGTGGCAACTTCAAGAGGGTCTGCAACACCGATACCGGCAACCTGAAGAGCGGGAGCCAGATCTGGAGAGTACCTGTCTCAATTTCCGTACTTTTTTCAAAACCGCACTCATAGAGGAAACCGAAGTGAGGGTAGAAACAATCCCACCAACAAGTGCATTTAGCTTTATGGATGACATATCAGGAGGCCACTCTCGCCCACTTAAAATCAAGAAGTCACTCTGTGGCCCTAATGTAATTATATCAGCTTCATGCAGCATGTTTCAAACATACTGCAGGAGCACAAGCAGGAGACCACCATGGCATGCATTTCTGAGAAAGCCTGCTCAAGGTTTGAGGTATAGCATGAGAAGCTGAGGTTAAACCTGAAGTCAAAAACAGGTATAACAGCTCATCAGCAGAGGATGAAGGTCAGCAGAGGATGAAGGGTCCTCACTAAAAACAATGTGGCATGAGTACAGGTCCCTATTCACTAGTTCAAATTGTCATTGTTGGATTGAGGGGGGTTAGAATGTGAATGGGAAGGAAGGAGGATAGGAAAACGATCGCTGTCATGTAAATCTGGGAGCATGGACTAGGTACAGTTGAGTGTAGGTGAGGAGGAGCAAACAAATCAATGTAAGAAAGATGGAGTGCGAGGATCAAAATGGGTGGGAGTACCCGTATTAAAAACATGGAGGGGAAGAGAAGTGAGAAGAGCCTTTAACAGATCACCAGAGTCACAGTGAGACCCCCCCCCAGGAAATGAGCATTAAAATCACCTAATAAAAGAAGTGGCAATGGTAAGGAAGAGATCAGAAATGCAACATCTGAAATAGATAAAGCTTGAGATGGAGAAAGGTACAAAGAGCAGACTGTGTACCACTTGTTCAAGTATATGTGGGCTGCAGTGTAATACAAAGTAAGAACAAAGATCTGATGGTATGGTATACATGTTTGCACAAGGAATGCACTTTCATTAAAAGATTCATCGGGAAATGGATCCGATGAATGCAATAAAATATAGCCCGACACAGGATGGATAACAGCAGAGTGCAATTTAGGTACTTGTAAACACACACAAACAGGAGGAAAACTGGGAGAGCAACACCTGAAGCTCTCCTTGATTACCCAAGGCCTCGAATATCCCACTGTAAATAAGTCACAATTTACAAAGAAAAGTATACCATTTACATGAAGCAGTAGGTGTCTACAGACTAGGAGGGTTAGTGAAATCTACGCGAGGAGGTAGCGGAAGAAGAGCTAGCAGCAAAGGATTGAAGCACTGCAAAGAATGGAGTCATGTAGATGGTTTAGAAAAGTGAAGAAGAGGAGTGATGGGAGGTGGATTGGTGTCCATCATCGGTTTCGTCTCCTCAATATATTCGGAGATTGCTTCAAGTGTTCCAGAGGACAAGGAAGTTGTAGATATTTCCACATCAGAAATAGGAGGAGGAAAGTGAGTAAAGATTGGAGAGATGATGGAAGT